GAGAGAGAGAGGAAGGGGGGTGGGGTGGCGTGGGGCAAGGATTTATATTTTAACCACAGAAAGCAATTCGAGCAATACCACCCATATAAAACTGCAAAACAAACAGAGGCAGCGAACTGTCACGGCTGGATTTGACTTTGAGCTGTTGTTTTTTTCTTTAGCCGATTCCAAAGGCAACTTAACGCAATGCTTCGCTTGTCCTTAGGCTGATATCTCCAGTATCCACTCTGAACTTGTTTTGGCAAATGCATAATCTTCATTTCTTGTGTACTTACATTTACTTTTACCTTTTCATCATCTGTTGCCGTAAAGCGTCGAATGGAGATGCAGTGTCTATGGTAGGCCAGCTCCTCAGCTCTTTCAGTTGTGCTATTATGCTTTCTTGGGTTTCCTTGACACCCTCGATCCACTTTTTGCGTATCCTTCCTCTCCCTTTATAGCCCGAGTGCTTGGTGTTGTAGGTTTTCGAGGCTGGCTGGCCAGGTGACATACGTAACAGGTGACCAAACCATTTTATTCTCGGTCTTTCTATGTAATTCAGGAAGGACTCATGCCCATGTCTGCTCTTACTTCTTCATTTCTATGCCTGTCTAGTTTTGTAATGTTAAGGGTTTTGCTTAAACAGTTCTGATTAAACCCAAAGTATGCTTTTTTCTAGCAATAAACTAGTTTCTCTCTATTAAACGCCACCCTTAGGGCGCATACACAAGGTCACTACCAGCGGCGAAGGGTAACGGAATAATCAGTTTCCGTTCTTAATTCTCGAACATTACCTTAATTAAGGACGTGATTTTTTCTCAGTCATTCTTATAGTCAAACTCAAGCGCTTGATATTAATTCTATTAGAATAAACCCATATAACGTGGTTTAGTAAACAGACTTTTATTTTGGACTGTGTACAACACGTGGAATGTGGACACATTTTGATGAAAGTCAAATGATTTGTGTCACATTACGGTGGAAACATATTCTTGTAAACTTTTGGCAATATCGAGTTAATGGTGTCATCTTAGACCAAGCTCGTTTATTTGTATTGGTTTTGATGAAAAAAGTATCCATCTACCTAGAATAGAAGTCGAGATATTTGCGACTGAAGAAGGTGGATGTCGCCTGGTGTCAGAAGTAATATTAGGGAAAAAAATGGCAGCGAATGTTTTGTGACTACCAAAGCTTGAGTGTTCATGGAAACTGCAAATTTGCATTTTCTTTCTGTCTTTGATCAACGTTCCCCCAGAAAAACCTATACAAAAATACGCTTTTAATTGGACATCAAAAGTGTTGAGTAAAACAACAACAACAATAACAACAACAACAAAAACAACAAGAACAACACAACAACAACAATAACAACAAATTCAACAACAGCAACAACAAAATTGATATAAATTGGCGAACAGATAAAAAACAACAACCCATGTTTCTTTGATTTCACTATATTGATGAGCGCCTGATTTCTCCAAGATGACACACAAACAAACACACACACACACACACACACACACACACACACACACACACACACACACACACACACACTCACACAGACGTATTTTAGAAAACGGACTTTTATTTTGGGCTGTGTTTTTTTTTGCGATCTGACGGGAAAACATTTACATATTGTATTCTGTGTGCCTTGAAGTCATTCAGCGTCGTGAAATTGTTGAGAAGAAAATATTTCCCGGTTGGATATCATGCCGAGATGATGTCTTAAAGTGCAGTTTAAATCCGTAGCGCAACTTATCCTCAAATATTGTTTTACAAGTGATTCAGTGTCACCCTAACTGTGCACAATGTGTCAATTTAACTAAATCATATTTTTGCACTACAAATGAGGCTAGAATAAAATAAAATTCCTTCATAAATTTATATAAAATACTAGTATGCTTCACAACGCGTAAAATGGGATTGTTCACATCACTTTCCGCTTCTCACATACATTTTGCATACGCGTATTATGGCCTACGTCATAGCTCACCAATGACACTTTTTAGTGGCAAACTTGTTACAAGAAATTTATTTTATAGTAAACACATTATTTGCAATAAAGGTTATCAAAACATGAGTTTGATAAACATAATATCACGATTATAAAACCCCCCACCAAAAACATGACGGACTTGCTTAAAGCGATATTGCCCCAGCTGTAAACTTTTTAAGTGGGTGGTTGGCGGGTGCACTGGTGTGGTTTGCTCCTTCTTTCCTGTCAAACATCTGACGTCCTTATCACCCCTTCTTTTTATGTTTGTTACTCTCTTGTAACACCTCTAATCTCCTGGCACTCATATGACCTTATGAAGTTACGAACACCACAAAACCTTTACCTAAAAAAACAAGAAAAAACCCCCCATCTTAAAATCTGTAGAAATCACCCATTTTGATCTTCTGTTAGTGCTATTAAGGGTTTTCCTAGAATACAGCTAACGGGAGTTTATAAAACTATTGATCAGTCAAGACAAATTAATACAAGTCATTGTGCAAAAGCTGGAGAGTTAATGTTCGATAGTTTAAAGAAATATTTGACAATAAGTTGGGAAACGAATTTTTGATCGCACTATAATAAACGTTTAGACTAGATAAGATTGAATCGAAAACATATCGGACTTGAAATTCGTTTTCTGATGAGATTGGAACCACCTTTTGTCACACTGACTTGTTGTCCCAGTTGTTGAACCCAATTGGCCGTTTTTATTGAGGGTGCGCTCTTAAACAGCTCAGTCAATATCATCCTGGATTATGCACGGTTCGAATTCCAGGTGATTTTGAAGAAGAAGAAGAAGAAGAAGAAGAAGAAGAAGTAGAAGAAGAAGAAGAAGAAGAAGAAGAAGAAGAAGAAGAAGAAGAAGAA